ACCACATTTTGGAATCGGACAGATCTTAATGCTACGCCACGCAATTGGAAATTGGCAGCTATCATATGACTCATTAAAACAAGACAATAGTTTTTGTATTACCTCTTCCGAAAGAGATGCTAGCATCATATGTGATCATATGTGATCCCATCAATGCCACCAGCCGTTGATCTTTTATTTCTAATAACCTCCCTTAATTCCTTCATAGAAAATGTTTGTGTACTCTGCGAGTTAGCAATGTTATTAGGAACAGTTGCAATTAACTCTGTTTGTGGAATTTGACTGCTCAGAAAGTCTAAATATTCCCTGTTATTGGATGCATCTGAGGTTTCCCTAGACCTTTAAGATTCCTCAAAAATTGTCAAGATTTCCTAGACGAAGGATTCAGATTAATCTCTTCAATTTTATCCTGATAAGAGTTTCTCTTTGCTTTTTTCACAGCATTTTTCCATTCTAGTCGAGCTTGGCTGGCCGCTTCAAAGTTCTCTGTATTTGGATATTTGATAGCTTTGGCTTGCGTAGACTTAAAAATTCTATTTAAACGTGTAAGTTCGTCAGTCCACCAGAACTTTGGAGACCTTTTCTCTAATATGTGAGTGCATGACCTAATTTCATTTTTCACCTTGTTTGTGATATCATTAATGTTCTGAAAATCTCTAATGTTGTTCAGTTTTGAAAGTAACTTTACTTTAGACAGAAAGAACTTTGGTTTTATTTTGATATTCTGGATTGTAATTGATATAGGAAAATGATGGCTGCCACCAATCCTTAGCGGACGGATATGCCAGTCAAAAAGCAAATCAAAGTTGGTAAAAGTCAAATCCAAAACTGAACCCGACATTATATTTAGAGACTGTTTAAAGGTTAAGCTTCCATCATTCAACCACTTGAAACCAGCATTTAAGGAAACATCTTCTATGAAACGACCTTGTAATTGGTCATACTGTCACCGAATACACTATTACGAGCATTAAAATCTCCACATATGAATACATCTTGAAGATTTTCCATGCTATCAAAAAGTCTTTTAATGTCTGATTTAAAATCATCTAGAGGTACATTTGGCTCACAATAGGCTGAAGCTATTGTGAGATTTCGGGATAAATTGGTTGTTTGTATAATTGATATGTCAGATGTGGCAATGAAAGGAATTTTTTTGAAAAGAATTTTATTTTTTACTAGTACCGAAGTACCTCCATAATTGTCAGCTCTAAGTTTTTCAGCAGCTTTAAAATTTAAAATGTTTCTAAAAGTAGGATCATCTCCATGGGAGAAGATCTCAGAAAGACACGCAAAATCAAAATCTTCATTATTAAGCAGAAACTCTAGGTCATTTTTATTTGCTTTGAGCGATTGAATGTTATATTGAAATATTTTAACTAACATGTTTATTGTGTTTTTAAAATCTGGCTCTGACTCAAACTTTTCTCCAAAAACATTCTACTAGATTTGCCTGTTCTTATAAATTTTTCTTTTAAATCTTGAAAGGACTCGCATAACACTTCATCCGAATCAATGAATGGTGTTATTAAGCGAAAAAGTTGAGCACAAATATCAGCAAACTTTATATCCTCCTTGACTGGGTATTGGAATTTATGTTCTGAAGTGTCATGAGTATAAGATGGTAATGAGAAATGATGGAAATTTTGTTGTGGGGGAACTAAGGTGTTTTTTACTATTGAGGTGTATCGGTTACTATTTATGATATTGTTTACAAGCTCGTTTTTATCTATTGTCTCAGGCATTTTCGATGGTAGAGCAGGAAAAGCATTTTCATTTTGGGATAATAAATCAAATCGATTATTTATGGAGTATTGGGATGTCACTTCTTTCCTCGACAATTTCTTTACACACATAACTTTCATTATTTTTTCCTCCAGTGCCCATTTTGGACATACGTTCTTATCACGAGCCGTGTGTTCATTACTGTTACATAAAATGCATTTGTACACCTGACAATTTGCAGATATGCACTCCGGCGCACCACAACGTAGACAACGCTTCTTTGCTTTACACGTTCGTGAACCGAGACCAATCCGTCCACAGTTAAAACATTGTAAAATATTTCGTAAAAAATGAGAAACTTCTAGTCTGCAGTAATTCAAAACAATATGAGATGGGATTTCTACATTTGAAAAACCAATTTTCACTGATAGAGTGGGTTCCCACATTACTTCAGTAGCCCCTGTCTCTGATTTTACCTTGCGTCTTAATCTAGTCATCGGCTTAACAGGAACGTCCGACTTGATGTTCATCAGTATTTCTTCATCAGTTATTTCAACCGGGATATTTTTAATAACTCCATATGTTTCTACATAATCCCCTGGTATATACGCTGATATGTTCATGCTTTTTAAATAAACGTTCCTCACAGCATCATTTGCAAATTTTCCGTTCTGGAAATATACCTTGTAAGACGAAATGCCTAGAGCAACAATATTGCAAAGTCCTGGCAGCTTTAACCCTTTAATTTTTTCGAGAAGAACAGACCATTCTTAACCCTAATATTTTGAATATTTTCAACCTGACCAGTGTTAAATATGACAGCCGCTTCACCAACAAAACTAACGTCATACTTATATTCCGTCCATTTTTTTTGATTTGCTGAGTCATCACTTGTATTTATTTTCCCTTGCTTAATCCTTGTCTCAACATCTGCTGGAACACCACTTTTCTGAACAACTTCAGTATGAAGCATGTCTTTTAAGTCTGAAGAGCTCACCTTAATCTTACTTCCTGACACATTTTTGTCCATACGCGGAGCCTTGCAAATTGCCTTTTTAATTATCGCGTTTCTCTTAATTGCTTTACCGGAATTGTTCGGTGCTGAGAGATCAGATGACTCTTCCATATCAGACGAGATATCCTCCATCGACTCACAATTCTGGCTCGACGCCATGGCGTCAGCCACTTTCACACTCTGCTTCACCAAAAATTTCAGTTCACAAGACTCACCTTAATCCTTTAATAAAATTGTACTCCTTCAAATTTATTTAATATTTATATAAGAAGCTCGATTAAACAAACAACCGGCTAGTATTCCGTGTTGATGGATTTAATTTTGGACCAAAGTTTTGTTCTTTCCCTTTTTTTTTTTTTCCGGACCGCGAGCAAAACACATCAAACCACCTTCAAGGCACGAATTGTTTACGTGGCTTTGCCGCTGCTTAGTTTTAACTATCCCCTCCTTTCTTATCGATCCCCTCCTCTACCACACTCGATACCAAAAATACGATGCAACACTGCTATCGGTATTATTAATACTAGATTATTTTAATGTTTACACTAGGGTTATTATAAACACTGTGATTTCAGCTTACCGTCTGGGATATATAAAGCATTGAACTGCAAAAATTACCTTAAACGACGCCTAATTAAAGCACCTATACACAAAAAACGAGAAGGAACGTGTGAGTCGCTTCTGGGGACGCGACTCTACTTATACCCGTACTCAGTCAGTATTTACATTTTTGAGCATGATTTTTTAGAATTTTAGAATTAAAAAAAAAATTTTACATTTTACATTTTTTTGCTACATTTGTTATCTACATCTCATCTACAATGTCTATTCTACATCTAACATGTAGTTTGTACAAGTACCATTTAGATTCTACATCTCCTCCGCTAGGGGTTACTCGCGCACTGAACGCGGCAGAGTGTGCGAGCGAGAAGGAAAATGAGTTGCGTTGTCGTGGGCGGGAGGGGGAGGGGAAGCAACTGAAAATGAATTTCTTCATTCTGGCTATAATTATGATTCGATCTGATTCAGATTCGGCAATCTGGTAGATATGGGCATTCTCTACGATACTGCGTTATTAGTTTTATCGTATCTTTAAAAATGTGCCACTGATTTTCGTCCTTTGTGTAGGCGGAAGGGGGCGGGGCGAAATTTTGAAATACACTTGTAGCAGTGTGATATCACATGAGTCTGGAAACCAAATTTGGTTTCTCTAGCTCTTATAGTCTCTGAGATCCAGGCGCTCATCAAGACGGACGGACGGACAGACGGACAGTCGGACAGACGGACAGACGGACGGACAGACAGACAGACATGGCTATAACGACTCGGCTATTGATGCTGATCAAGAATATATATACTTTATGGGGTCGGAAAATTTTCCTTCTCTGCGTTACACACATCCACTTTTACCACAAATCTAATATACCCCTTAACTCTTTTTTGAGTACGGGTATAAAAAGGGGTCACAGGATATACTTTTTTTCGACTTTTCCCGAGTTTTTAAAGTCAAAATTCGTTAAAAATACAAAATTCATAATTTTTACATTTCAATTCTTTATATTTCCCAGACGCTAAGCTAAAACCACAAAGTGTTTGGGCCTACCTTGTAGCTGTTTTAATTATCTTTTCAAAATAGCAAAGTTCTTTACAACCAGACGTAAGATATTAGAGTTATGTGAAAAAAAGAAGCGCTACATCTGAAAAAAGCTTTACAAAAAAATACCAGAATTAAAAAAAAGTTCTGCAATAGAAAAAAAACCATAATTCTTTAAAAAAAATTAACTCACATATCTATCAGAAAAAATCGGTTTGGATCCTTTAGGAAAAAAAGTTAGATTTTGTGGAGTAGTGTAATCAATACATCACTAATATTGAAAATAGCTTAAAGTCGCTTCTTATAGTCTTTGAGAACTAGGCACTCATCTGGACGGACAGACAGACTCTCTAAGATATCGACTCTCATAAGGACATACGGACACGGCTACATCGACTCGGCTATTGATGCCGATCAAGAATACATACATATTTACTTTATGGGTGCAGAGACACTTATTTCTTGCTGTTATATAGATTCACTCGAATCTAATATACCTCTCTGCGTACCGGGTACAAATATCCGATTTTATAAGTCTAATCCTACCCTATCCTGAATTTACACGATTATATCGTTTTATTTGCATACATCGATCCTTATACCATTGCCGCTCGTTAGGTTGGGCGGCGATCCGTGTGTAACAAGCTTCGGCTTAATGCTTTGCACGTAATCATATTTATTTTAAAAATATTTTAAAATATGAAAATAGCTTACAATTAAATCATCCTTGTATATGCTGTTGTCCGTATAAACGACCAGTAATTCCACTGAAAGTGCACGACAGCTGGGTTCCCGAAGTTTTGAAGCTAGTAAAAGACAGGCAGCTGCTAAAATTTGAAGGTGGGTCTTGCGTACTGATTTAGTTGAAAGAAAGCGATCCATGTAATTCAATGCCAGTAATACGACCTCCTCCTGGCATTTCTCTTCGGCACATACCTAAATGAATACAATTATTATAATAATATTTGCAGTGATTCTTTTTATATAATTTTATTAGATACATAGATTCGCGAGTATTTTTTGTTCGCCATTTATACTTTAAATTTATTCAGAACAGACATTACAAATAAGAGTTATGAGTTTAAAAAATCCAAGTCGAAAACAGTGTCCTAGGTGTATCTACATCTACATCACTTCTCACACCTACACGCCGTTCTAACTCGTTCTCCGCTAGAGGTCGCACGAGGCAAGGCAGATTGTGTGAGCAAATGAGAATCAGTAGCGCAGCACCGCTAGAGCACAGCACATTCGGCAATATGATAGATGTGGGTTGGGTGTACCCAAGCCTGCAGCAACAACGACGATAGCCGTAATGACGAGAAGCTACGATGATCCCAGCCCTAGACAACGACGAGCGACGATGATCCCATCACAAGAGAACAACGAACAGAAAAAGTTAGCAACGACGAAAGCGACGTAAGATTCGAAAACGACGACGAAAAAAACGAAGTCCTTTGTTGGGGCGGAAGGCTCCTATAGTCTCTAAGAACTAGGCGCTCAACAAGACGGACGAACAGACAGGCATGGCTATATTGACTCGGCTACTGATGGTGGTCAAGAATTTATATATACTTTATGGGTGGTTCGTTCGTTCTCTTTCGTAGTGACCAGACGTGTTTTTGTTTTGCGCTCCGCATTTTCCTTTTGTTTAACTTAAACAGCCGGTGTTTTTTATCTATAATTTAACTCTCTAACTAACTTACATTAAAATCATACTTTTACCGCGGGTGCATGCCTGATAATTGTGTAAAAACACAACTTATTTAATTAATTTTGTGCGTCGGTTAGTCGTGTGTTTGTGTTGTTGCTTTTCGTAAGTACGCCCTCTCATTACATTTAGCCGCTCTTTGTCGTAGTTATTGCCGTCTATCACTCTCTATCACCTAACTCTCAATAACTGTTCTTTCGCTCTCGCTCTTGTAACTTTTTGTGCAGTAACGCTCTCACCTATAAGCTGTTGCTGCAACCACTCTCCTCTCTCATCTTTTACCGATTTCGCTTTAAGCATTGCTCTAAGCATTTGCTCTGCACAGTGGTCTGATTGCTATTTGTTTTGAACTCAAAATGTGTAGGGATCTCGGGCCGTGTAGGAGACGCCATTTCCCAAAACAACGGCCTACATTATAGTTGTGAGGAATGCCGTGCTGTGGAAAACGACATGCGTTCGTTCATGAGGCAGACGCGGAGTGGCTTCAAAGAGCTGATCGTAGGCTTTAAACAGCAATATGATCGGCTCTTGGCCATGAACACTCAGTTCAGCAGTTTACAGCTCCTGGCTGAGTCTCCGAGGCGCAAGAAGTCTACTCCGCGGGACTATCCCCTCAGTTTCGCTCCCACCAGCTAATAGATGTCCAGGACCACCGGATACTGCCATCACAGGTACTAGGCCTGTGGTGCCAAAACCACTGGTAGGAGTCCCACCAAAGCGACAAGTTTTTGTCTCGCGGCTAACCCCTGACCACACATCTAATGATGTGACCGCTTTTATACAAAGCAATATAAAAGCCGTCGGCTTAAAGGTGGAAAAATTTAACTTTTCTTACGCCAGGGAGATATCTTCCTTCAAGATAAGCGTCTCCTCAACTCAATTTGAAACCATTTGTTCCGCCAAGTTTTGGCCGGAGCATTTGGTGGTTAAAGAGTTTAAGGCTAAGAATAAGAATAGGCCCCCCATTACTCTTCCTAGCATTCAGAACAGTGCTCCATCTCCATCCTCATCTTTCACCTCTACTTCCACCCATCCAAAAAACTAACTTCCTCTCTTGTAGTTACTTACCAGAATGCTAGAGGCTTGCGTAGTAAGCTCAGCACTCTTTTCCTTGAGAGTCTCGCATTCTCGTCCCACGTTATTGTGTTTACCGAGACCTGGTTAAAGCCGGACATCCTTAGTTCCGAAGTTTTGGCAGGTCGGAACACAATTTTTAGAAATGACCGTTCGTCTCGACGTGGAGGTGGGGTCCTTATTGCAGTGGACTCAAACTTCACGTCGGAACATTTCATGGTCCAGGTTCAACAAAACCTGGAATTCCTGTGCGTAAAACTGATTCTCCCAGGCTTTTCCATTTACATTACTTGCTCGTATATTCCACCTTCCTCGGATATCTTAATATACGAGCATCACCTGTCCGCTTTAAAACCTGTTTCTTCCTCGCCATCAGATAAAGACCATATGATAGTTCTTGGTGATTTCAATTTGCCAGGTACTGTTTGGTCTTCGGTAAACGAGTCTAATAACCTTGTGCCCATTTCACGACATGACTTTATCGACGGCTTGCTAGACCTATCCCTGTCTCAAGTCAACCATGTGAAAAATACCTTGGGTCGATTGCTTGATCTGTGCTTTGTCTCGGATCCGACCACAGCGTTGTTAACCCGAGCCCTTCCGCTCAGTATACCTGAAGACTCCTACCATCCTACATTCGAAGTGGCCCTACTGTATTGGATCGAATGGATAGGCTATCTGAACGTGTCCGCTGCTTTCGTAAAGCCGAGTTTACGAAGCTTAATAACCTTATTAGGGATTTTGATTGGTCCGCTCTGTACTTGTGCACTGACGTTATGAAAGGCACAAACATTTTTTACAATGTACTTGACACATTTTTTTATTCTTGTGTCCCACTTTATTGTCCGGTTAGATCTGGAAAGCCTCCTTGGTTTACCAAAGAGTTATCCAGTCTAAAAAATTTAAAATCAAGACTTTATAAAAAATTTCGAGTAGTTGGTTCTCCCTCCTCACTATGTAATAGCTCGGTCAAATTTATCCGTTCTTAACGCTCAATGCTATAAAAACTACCTATCTCGATGCAGGATACGATTTTCACAGGACCCTAAACAGTTTTACAGCTTCGTAAATAGTAAGCGTAGAACGTCCGCACATCCATCCTCGTTATCTTTTCTCAATATGTCAGCAAACAATGATCAGGCAATTGCCGATCTTTTTTCCAAATTTTTCCAAACAACCTATTCTCATGAAAGCTACTCTGGTCCCGACGGAGTTCCCGGCTGTGTACTTAGGTACTGTGCCGACGCTCTGTGTGGACCCTTGCTTAAACTATTCACCCTATCCATTAACTCTTCATGCTTCCCATCTTCCCCATCTGGAAGGAATCTTTTATTATTCCGCTCCATAAGAAAGGTAGCAAGTCTGATGCAAATAATTATAGAGGTATATCTAAGTTATCCGCTATTCCTAAAATGTTTGAAAAACTTTTAACTCCGCACTTGCAACATCTCTGCAAATCACTTATATCTCCGTCCCAGCACGGATTTATAAGGCGACGATCAACAACCACAAATTTATTAGAGTTTACCTCTTTTATCATTAAAGGCTTTCAAGGTAACTTGCAGACGGATGTCTTTTACACTGATTTTAGTAAAGCATTCGATTCTGTAAACCATTCCCTTTTACCACACAAACTTGACCTTTTAGGGTTTCCGCCTAATCTTTTGAGATGGATTTCTAGCTACCTTCTTCATAGGTCTCAAAGAGTCCTCTTCAAAAACTCCTTCTCTTCACCTGTTAAGGTTACTTCTGGAGTACCACAGGGCAGCCATCTAGGCCCCCTACTATTCACACTCTTTATTAATGATCTGCCATCAGTATTAACAAACTCTCGAGTACTCGTGTATGCGGATGAAGTTAAACTTTGTGTCCAGTATAAGGACATTTCATTTCACTCTCGCTTGCAATCCAATCTCAATACTCTCAATCATGGTGTTGTGCAAATATGTTACACCTAAATGCCTCGAAATGCAAAGTAATGACATTTCATCGCTCCAGCCCCCTTTTGGCTCCTTATAGCCTCTGCGGTGGTTCTCTTGAGAGAATTACCTTGGTTGATGATCTTGGTGTTAAACTAGACCCAAAGTTGAAGTTTTCTGAACACATTTCTACCATGGTAAATAAGGCCATGGGTGTGCTTGGGTTTATAAAGAGGTGGTCAAAGGAATTAGACGACCGCTATATAACGAAGACTCTCTACATCTCCCTTGTTCGTCCGATTTTAGAGTACGGCTCTTGTGTATGGTGCCCCCACAAAGTACACCAGGACCGTATAGAATCAGTCCAGAAAAACTTTTTACTTTTTGCTCTGTGTGGCCTTAACTGGGATGCAGGTGTGAGACTGCCATCTTATCCTCGTAGATTGCTTTTAATAAGCCTTCCAACCTTAGTTAGTCGTAGAAAAATGCTTGGTTTGATTTTTATGCACAACCTGATCAAGGGTGACGTAGATAGCCCTGACTTGTTGAGCCGCATACACTTAACGATTCCTGTTAGATCTACTAGAAACTTCATTCCTCTTTTCCTTCCGCTTTGTAGATCGAATTATTCCTTACACGAACCATTTAGGGTACTTTGCTCGGACTTCAATTCCCTTTACCACATAATATCAACTACTAATTCCCTTCCTCTTCTTAAATCACTAATACTAACATACCTTTCCCGTAATTAGTTATATTTTTTAGCTATCTTTGCATGCTTAGCTCTTTGAGTTGTGTTTAGCTCTAATTTTCCTCGAATTTTAGTCTAACACCTATCTTTCCTGCATGCTCGCGATCGGTTCGGTAACACGCGTCGCGCGTCATGCGGCAGCGCCCCTCGGTCGGTTGGGCGGGAGGAGGGCTGCGTTTCTGCCTGGGTTCCGCGCGTAACAGGCTTCGGCTTGGTGTCGCATGGGCCACTTGATGGTGCAGTCATTGCATATCAACGTCCAGACATAAAAAAAAGTTTCCTTCTGTGCGTTACACCACCAACTTCGACCATCAATCTAATAAACCTTATAAAATTAACTTTTCGAGTAGGCGTATCAAAAGAAAAAATTATTGATACAAAAAAAAAATTGCAGTCTTGAGAAATTAGCCAAATTTATATTAATATTGTATACCTGTCATTGCATTAATATTCTCACATTTCCAATACATATGTTCATCATTGT